ATCCGTCTTTCAAGTTCACCGGTTCTCACGCTGCCGCTCACGCATCACTTCTTCCTAACAACCGATGCTAGTGATGTACCGACAAATGTTAATTTCTCCGTGCAGGCTTGATGCTTTCAAATACCTAATTAATGCTCGGTATTTTCATCATTCCACGGAAAACGAGCAGCTCTGTCCAGCGCGGTGATCTTCAACGTGGTAGGCAAGCTACTCCGAGCGACATCCTGGCGATTCACTGTTGCGCAGCGCAACTACTATTTTCTGCGATGATACACCGTTTCTACTAAACATGGGCGATAGCTATGCATTTGAATCCCATGCTTCAGCTTTTATTGCAATGTTTTCGAATGGAAAAAGAGCTAAGCACTACCATGTTGAGGATGGTCTGCAGTGGTACAAAGTAGTGGGGCATCCGTCACCTGGGCATTTCAACTTCTCTCTCTGATTTTTAGATGCAGAGTATGTTCTTTCAGGGCGTCTCGGAAACTTCGTACAGTGTAAAAGCTCTCACAGTCCTTCGGGTGGCCTGGAATGCGTCCTACAGCAGAGGAGTATGTACTATCACGCCCGGATTGTCAGCAGTTGAGACCATGCAGTTCTCCTGAATCTGGCCGTTTGCAAAGTCTTTGCGCTTCTGAAAGCACGCGGCTGACTGAACCATAGAATTTATAGTTGTAGGGCCAGAGGTCAAGAGTCAGGATAGCTTCTACGTCGTTGTCCACCCACTTAGCAAATATGCCTATTTCGTCCTTTATTTAGCTCTCTCACGGCTCAGCCAGTGGTTCACTTATTTTTGACTCATGTACGGAAGCTTCCTAGATTTTCCAGGACCGTCATTACAAATATGGATCTAAAATTCGTCAGTGCGTTTTGGCATGCTCCTAGGACCCGCCTAAAAAATGATCTACAAAATTATCACTACGAACAATCTTGAGGCAGATGAGCATACAGAATGCATTAACTGCTCTCTTGTGCAGTATGTGCGACTCTGTGGTCCCAAAAGTCCAATAGCTTGGCTTGGCTGCCTTCCTTGTGCTAAGTGGTAAAATAGTACATCAGTACACTTGTCTACCTGTTGGTCTACCGCATACCTGGTCTACACTGATGAATCCTTATCCGAATCGGGTCTATGCATGGTAGCGCGGGATTAGAAGCCACCTTTGAGGGAGGATTTAGCCGGAAAACAGCAACCGATTCCACGCTAACGTGTGCCCAGAGTACAAGACAGGCAAGCACGGCATCATTAGAAGTTGCAGTCCTGGGCTGTGTGCTTCACCTCCAAAGATCTGCTCCTAATGAATCAGCAGGCTGTATAAGATGCACTAGAAGGTGACCAGACGAGCACATTCGCGGCAAGGCAGCTGGGACCAGCAATGATTCTTTCACCAATCTCAGCTGTTTCACACTTCATCGATTAAGCAATAGGTTGAAGGTGTCATGAAACTGTCAGACTTTGCTTGCTAAGAAGATTTCGAAATCTTCTGAATCATGTGCGGGCTGTGCGACGCAGATGAGTGGCCGGTGTGCAGGCGGAGGGTCCAGAGGGAGCCATCAAAGTGCTGGATTATACGACCGTTGAGGACTGAGGAGACACTGGACGAAAATGAAATCTGGCGAGGTACGCCGACTTCAGCTGTGAATAAAGCAGCTGGAAGCTGCGTTGTCTGCGGGAGAATTGGCAGTTTTGTTGTTAACTTCGTTGGGTTCCATGGATGGCATTCCTGCCCTTTGCAACTGTCCTTCCAACACATGATCCGCCAGAAATAGCTATGGGTACTGCATAAAAGCCTTCGGATGTTTTCTGCAGTCATATTTTATGTGTAAGTAATTTTCAAGTGCGTTGTCTGTTTTTGTGCCTCTTTTGGGGCTGTGAAGTCGACTTTTTGGCACGCATAGCCTGTGTCTGCATGCAAAGGCTGTTTCATGAGACACCACACACACTGGTGAACTAGTGTGTATTCTGACTTCCTCTAACATATTAAATTGGTATTCTGTTAAGTCTTGGCAAGAGACTCACACACTTCAGCGCTGCAATGACAGCAAGTCAACTTTCCGCAACGGTCGTATTATCTTGGTCCCTCGTTGCCTGTTGGATAGTGCTTCTCCTTTAGCACTTAATGCATACATTTGCTTTTTCCTTCGCACTAAAGCGGCATGCTTTCCTGCTTGAACGATCACAGAGCGGGAGTCCTTTTCCATTCCTGCACGCAGCTCGTTTTGGTGTCAGAACACTACAGCGTGTGCAATGAATTTTGAAGGGAAAGATTTGAAGCGGGCTAAGCGCAGGAAAACACGTTCTTTTACAATAGCCATATATAACTAAGTGCTAAAAGGAATCGACCAGTTGATTTGCCTGTTTGCTTACCTTGTTTTTTGCAGTGTACTGATAGAGCGACAGAGGAAGGCGCACCTTTGGGTGCGTGTACACTAGATGCTATGTGCAGCTACCCATGAGTGCTTGGAGTGCTTAGGGGCTGCAGCGGCCTCCACCCCAGCTGTCCATCACCCCTCAGCGTTCCCGACATGGTCATGGGTATGATTTCCTTATAGGAAAACTGGAGGGTGCAATCCAGACGGACCAAATTCTAAGACGGTACTCTTCTATTCTTTATACTGCAAGCGTAATCGGCTAAAAACTCGCCATCAATAGATGTGTTGAATCCTTCACAAGTAAAGCGGGCAGATATATGATGGAGCAAGCCCAGTGTCGCCTCGTTTTTACGAGCAACAGAGTCCATAGCTCGAAAGCACGTCTGCCTTGGCTCCTTCCTAGACCCTAAAACGCTTTTACTAGGCAGGACCACATACTTAGGTGCAGCGTATAGCCAACAGTATAGAGGGGTTGCGGACGATGGCGCAGTGACGCTTCTTGGAGGAATGGAAGTAGGAGCCAGACAAGCTGTCTCAAATATTCAATGAGAGGATCACACATGAGGAGGAGGATGGCAGTTTAAGAAGCAAAGCTGCGTTTGTGCCAGAAATTCAGTGCAGAGAGAGAAATTCTACGCAACACATACGGGGATCAACAGTTTTCCTTTCAAGTCTATTGAGGCTCCTTTCGTGCTTGTCGCCTGTTACATATGTACTGAAATAAGAGTTGTTGAATATTTATCACTCTGGTGGCTGTTTCTTGAGTATTTTCGGCTTTAGTTTCGAAAGTGTGGTTTCCTGGTGCCCACTGTCGGTTGCTAAAGAATTGGTGACACAAGCAAGTGCCTCAGCTGATTGGGTCGCAGCAAGTAAAAACTTTACCGCTATCTTTATGTAAGTATCGAGAAAATTAACAATGAATCACGTCTCAGGAATTACCCCAGTACGAAAAGCCCGATTGTCAGCGGCTGAGGCCGCCTGCTACTTAATGGACGGCCCCGCGGCGCCGGCGGTCTGGTCTCAAGACAGGGGAGGAACGCCCGCTCATGAAGTATCTGGTGATTTATAATTTAATATCTTTATCTTCAGTGAACATTTACTTTAGCTTTAACTTTGTTTAGTGTCTGGCATCAAGATGTTGCTTCTGTCTGGGAAGCCCTTGGTTTTTCTGCTCCTGGCCCTTCTGGCCACGGTGGCTCTGTACGGCGCATTTAACGTTGCACACGCCATGCAGCTTGAAGATGCCGACGATCTAGGCGAAGGAATGGAAGAAGAAGCGGCTAGCTTCTCGGAAACTGACGCTGACGTACTGGAAGAGAAGCTAGGCCCAAGTGAGGATGGTGACGCCGAAGTCCCATCTGATGAATATGCAATGGATCAAGATTATGACCAAGACTTCGAGGAGAACGAAGGACACTCTTTCTTGGAGGTGAGGCCTGGGCCAACTCTGCTGACGGTTCTCATCAGTGTGTGGTACCAGGGGTTAAATAGTTCACTGTTGATGGAACCATTCAGGTTGTACGCCGCCGTATTGCATCGTATTCTCAATTTCCACTTAAGCATCGGCACATTAAACCCCCGAGTACCTAAGCATTCGTTCTTGTTAGCTCTCAATCCCGATCATTATGGTTTTTATGACTCGATTTCTTCAGGGGGAGGAAAACGAAGATGAGAGCGCAGACCAGAGCGTTGACCTTTCAAACATGACAGATGAAGAAATCAAGGTCGTAATGGGTCTACTGCCACCTGAAGACCAAGCTCTCCTCCATCAAATGATCAATGAGCAATCGGATGATGATAGCGATTCCAGTAACGAGCTGTAAAATGATTATTTGGTTGGACTGATTATCCTAGTGGAAAGTGTCCTTCCAGCGCCCGCTGCTCTGTGGCCAGGAGAGGTCTTTCTCTCTGACGGGGTCACATGCATTCATTCCGAGGATGGGACGGGAGATCTTGCATCCTCATTCCCCTTCACCATATACTCAAATATGTTTTGCTAGAGGATGGAAGTGTAGGGGGGCCGCACACCCATGGATTGACCGTCGGTCTAGTATTTGGATGACATGAAATATTCAGGCTTTAAAGTCCTGTGTGGAGATTCATGTTTACTATTGGTGCATAGCGAATCCGAATGGGGGCACATTAGGCTGAGAAGCCTCTTGCGTACCGCATCTTTAAGACAGGATGCTTTCAAGCGGGACACCTGCTGACAGAATTGAAAATAACGGCAGTAGACCACCGCGTTCCGGCATGCACAGGTATTTTTATGATTGGCCTTTGCCAAGGCTATGCTGTTTGGGGAGGACGGTAATTCGTGGCAACAAGTTGTAGAAACATATTTTGGCAGAAGCTGTGCGTACTCCTCCGGCTCTTCATTTACGCTACAACTGCAGTTAACCTTTTAAACTAAAGAAATGATATCACTTGCTCCTTGTGAAGGATTTTCCTGGTGGCACACTCGTTTTAAAAAATGTTTGTGGAGTCAACCAGAAAATCTGCTAGTCAAGTCTGCAGCAGCATGATGATCTGCGGAGGTCTCGCGAAATATCGCAGGGCGGCAGCAGCACCCTCGACACCTTTCGGCATTCTTTAGGTCACCAGCAGGAAGGCGGAGAATATAAGATTGCACATTAGCTTGGTTTATCCGAGGCAAACGAATGCGGGAGAATCTCCCCAGTTATGCTGAGGTTGATAGAATTCAAATTCTGCTCACTGCCCTTGGCTCCCGAGAGGAACAGTGCGATGTTTTCTGGTAGCATCAGGCAATCCTTCACCCTCTCGAGCTCTTTAGGTCCACGGGTGGCAGACCATACGGGACCGTGGAAGGAGTACGATCGGTGATTGCCCGACACTTGCAACGAGTAGCGGCTGCAGTGGTGTCGGGGATGTAGGGCAAGGAGGGAAAGATAAAAGGCGGCTTCTCCCTCCACTCTTCGATGTACACGCAACACGAAATACTTGCCATAACAATGGTATAGGTGCTGTTGCCACAAGAAAGATTCACAGCCGTCCAACGTGCACGCTGGTTCCTCGTCTGCGTGGTTGTGCATGTGTGCGTTATCATGATGACCCGCACCACCAGGAACGGCAGGCTCTGAGTTATTAGTGCCAGTGTTGTTGCTTTGGCCGCTATTCTTCAACGCTTGAAGTCGCTTGGACCCTCTGCAGTTGCTGGGAGTGCATACAAAGTAAATGGTGCTGGTTGGAAAATATTCGTATCCGTGCTGCTGCAGCAGGTGCTCCGCCAGTTGTTGCGGCGTGGATTCAAAGGCGCAGCCACTATCTGCATGCAAACAGGCCAGCGGTCTCCTGAGGCAGCGCGCCTCGTGCTGCTGCAACTCGCTGTACTTCAAGGTGTACGGACACCCGAAGTTCGAAAAGCGGCAGGGAATGTCGGTAAGGCATTGCGCCAGTAACTCAAGCGCTCTGCAGCGAATATTGAGCTCTGGAGAGCGACAAGTTGGGCAGCTGGTCAGCCGCTGCTGGCAGTTGCAGCACAACGTGTGCCCCTCCCTGCATTGGTAGATAGGCGGTTGCATGCGCTCCAGGCAAACGCCGCACTCCAGCAACTCTAGGGTCACCGCTGACTTGGAATTCGCTGCCGAAAGACTGCTGCTACTATCTTGCTGAGTGGCGAAGGAAGAGGGTTCAGTAGAGGCTGATGATGTTGCTGGTGCACCTGCTGCGGCACTTGTTGCACTGGTAGCATCCACTAGGGACGGATCTCCGGCAGAGGTAGGAAGTATCACCATATCTTGCTGAACGACTGCTGGTTCACTGCTCAGGGAGAAGTACGGCAGGCCAACAGCAACACCAGCAGTACCAGATATTGAAGCCATTGCAGCACCGTTTGGCTTCCCGTCTAAGTTCGAGCGAAGATCTCCGCAAAGGGTGTACGCCATTGGACAGTTTGCGACTGCATCATTGGTTAAGGGAGTCGTGGAGGCTGCTATTGGTGAACAATACGGCTGTGCGGCTGCGTCTCTTGCTGAGGGTTCTCCTGAGGCCACCGACATGTGCGGCGGTTGAAGCGCCTGCACGCCTCCTACAGAAGATTCAGACGCAGCTGAGGAAATCCGATGGGCTTCGTCGTCCTCCAAGAGATCGGAATGAGCTTTCTTCTCTGCTGCCATGGTGCTATGTTGCCGTTCGCCGCTTCCCGATGTCTTGAGTTACTGCAGCTGCGCGCTTTGCTCCAATGCAGCCACCTCCTTCCTCATGCTACAGGAAAGGCTCTACTCTTCGTCGTTCTTAGTTGTCGCCGTTCATCCCACAACCGCGGGAGTAGCTGTAGCGCCAGCCAGAAGCTAGCGAGGCATAGGCTTCGTGCTTGGATGGTATGGGGAAGATACAGCGTGCGGCTCGGCCCTCCTTTGCCCTTTTCATAGCTTCACTACAGGCAGTTTACACATCGGCGTACAAGAGGAGGGTTACTGGAAGTCGAAGAGCAGCCAAAAGGGCTCTCGCTGCTTCTGTAGGTGGCGATGCGCGGAAGTAACCACGGAGGGCAGAAGGGCTGTTGTTAGTGCCGCTGCACCTTGTTGAGTAATAAATTGAAACGGGCAGCTTAATACGCGACCGTTTAAATAGTTTAAGGAAAAGGGCAAGGACACGCCACAGCGAAAACGGCTCCTTCAGGTGCTGTTGCACCAGCAGCCGAAACGGTACTGCTGCGGCAGCACATTTCTAGGGCCCTCTCTCGGTGCTGGTGCAGCAGTGGCAGCAGCCAAGGACCTTTAGAATAATATAAATAGGACGTCTGCCGCATTTGTTAAACGAAGTTAATTCATGTTTGCCTATATACTCTCTCTATTGGCAACTAACTGCGCCTGAACCTGGCGCGAATACAGATAACCGAGGCGGTGGCAGCACCACCGCAGTGTTTGGATGCCCACGAGATACAGGGCATGAACTACTTGGCACCCCTGTTCTTCCATTTGTGTATACGTGGGATGCCTCTTCTGAGCCATTCCTGGCTTCCTTCTTCTCTTCTTCCTGTGCAGCCCCCTTACCTGTGACTCTCGGAAAGGAGAAAGGCTACAGAAGAGGGGGGCGCAGTGTACATCCTCATCAAACCAACGAAACAGCACCTCTTGAAACCCAAACTGTGGATATCGAACCCTGAGATTTACCCCCAGCCAGCATGTTCTTGTCTCCAGAAATCCTTGCGGCTCTCCTCGCGGCATATCTTGCCACCCGTTTGACGGAAAAGTTCAAGCTTCACAACAAATTTACTCACAGGTACCAACCAAACCGTTTACCCTACCTGTCACATAAAGCCTTGTCTGTAAGCGAAGCTGTGGTTTTACACGTGTGTAGGACATAATACCACACCCCAAGCATTGGCGCGCAAAGTGTTAACATTTGTCTAGAGTCCAAGCCCGCCATATATCCTCTTGCACTCTTCGTCAGCGGGCTTCCCTCTACAGTGTCACACCCTCTTGGGTGTATCCAGCGCGGCTAAAAAGAGAGGGCCCTTGCGGTTGCTGCACCGCGGAGGCAAACAGCAGCAAATTTGTTGTGCTGCCCGATGGATCCTACCGAACAAAAGCCGCTACAGAACCGCGGAAGCACAATCAGTCAGGGGGGTATTGAAGAAAACTCCGCATCACACGGACAAAACAAAGACGGAGGGCATCAATGGAGTCACATCCATGTGTAGATAGAATGTGTATAGCGAGATACACATACATACATACATACATACATACACAGGGACGGCAATACATATACATATATATATATATGCGTGCATGTAGAAACTCCATATCACTATCTGTTTACCGTCCTCTACGCGATGTGTGGATGTCTACGTATGCGCAGAATATGGATTGCAGTGCCCCTCAGCGGAAAAGAAGGCCCTAAAGGGTCTTACATGCAGCCCAGGCTGTCCATGGTGCAGGTGCGTTTCTGCCCACCCTTCTGCCCTTTGGATCCTGCGCGAACTCTCCTAATCGAGCAGCCACTGTCTCTTGTATCACTAGGCGAACAATTGTGCGTTCTTGGGCCTCATGGCTCTGAGGATCGAAAGCAGTAGCCGATTCATCGCGAACCGGTATATGCATCTGGTTGGGCAGTCTGTTGGTGCGAATTGTGCATCTGCTGCTGCATCTGGCTCGCCTTCTACCCGTTACAGTTTGGAGGACAGGGTCTCTTCAGGACTGTGGAGGGCACAGCGGCGCTGCAAGAAGTCGCAAGGGCCCTTTGCCTGCTGTGCCTGAATCTCTTCGCCTTCTGCATGCTCGCTCTCTGGAAAGAGGGGCACCCAGACCCCCTACCAGCAACCCTCGTTTGCATGGTCTCTGCAGCGAGACTCTGGTACGGAACTTTTGAGCCAGTCGAAGCGTCCAGTGAAGCTACCTTTCTTCCCTTCTTGATCCTTCCGGCTCTGCCTAAAGCTGCGCGTCGCCTAACAGGTCTCTTAGCTCCTATTTCCTGCTAGTGCTTCTGGATTTGGAGACTGCCCACCCTCCCCATTAAAGAGCTGTCTACACCTCGGCTTTTGAATTTCGCTGTCACGGCGTATCGCCATCTTTGCGCGCTACCCCCTGTGATCTGCTTCGTCCGCTAGGATTCTACAGCTGAAGTTGCTACGAACCAATTTGGTGTACAGACACCAGGCGTTTCAGCGACTGCTGCCCCTGTGGGATCCTGAACCCCCCCTGCATTGAGCGTGCTGCTTCTTCTGATCTCCCTGCTCTGTGCGCATCCGCAAGGGCAAAAGTGCTGTGCGCGACGGTCTGCGGCTAGCCTCTTGCTCTATTCGAAACGTTTCCGCCACGGGAACGCCATGAGGGCAGGAGACAGTGGCCTCCTTAGCCTAAGCGGCCTCTTCGATGCGTGAATGCCATGCTGCATTTCTTTTTGCCAGTGGTTTGCGCAGGGTTCTGGTCATGATTGCCGGCGTTGGGGCAGTATTCTGTTTGGAAGATTTGGCGCTCCACAAGCAACTGGGGGTCTCCTTCCTAACAGACCGTACGCCACTCACTTTTATGTCTCCCTTCCTTTGTATCGCCTTCGCTTTGTGCGTGCACCCCTCCTGCTCGCTTTGCCTCCCATATAGCCGCGTTTTCGTTTGTCGCATGTGCTTTTGGAAGTGTTCCCCTGTGGACGATGGGGGGAGGGGGGGAGCACAGGTTGAGAGCAGGCGGCAGAGGCAAGCGACACTCTGCAAAAGGGTCTTCATGGTCAGCACCCATCTGTGTGGCTCCAAGGTGCACATCCGTGGCTGTACGAATTCGCGTGCCGGACGACAGGTAGTAGGAACCGGCTCAAGGGCATCGATCGCCTGGCTGTAGCACACACAAGGGGGCGCATGTGTCTCTAGAACTGCCGCCATCATGTCTGTCTGGTCCTGTATCCAGATTTGGAGGGCGTTGTTAGACAATGGGCAGAGGAACTGGAGCCTTTGGGTGTACAGTAAGTCTTGGCGCGCGAGCACGCAGACTTAGGGGAATTTCAGTGTTGGTCTAGAATGGCAGAGCACGCGAGCGTCCTGCGGGCGGCCTAGAGAATACAATATGACCAACGGAGGAGGCGGAAGTATTTTGTGCTGCTGTTCCCCGTCTCGCTGGTCGCTGTCGGCTGGCTCACTGCCAATGCGAGTTGTGTGTGTCTTCTGAAGGGTTGTTCGTACGAGCATTTTGCACCCCACCTAGCGAGAACAAGCCTGTCGCTGAGATGGTGGCACTCTGTGCGGATACGCAGGGTTCCCAGCGCAAGGGTCCTCTCGTTCATCGTCTGTGGGTGTTGTTGCTTTTTTCTGCTCCTTTGGGGTGCCGCCTCCGCTGCAACAATCGAAGAGATTGAAGGCATCAAAGAGACGCTTAGGCGGCCATCCGTTAGTCGAACTCTATCCCTGAAGCCTTACGCGGCAAGGGAGCCCTCTTCCTATGCTTGTCGTGCTGCCGCGGAGCAGCAGCGGGTGCCCTGCATGCACGTGCCCGGTGGCTTTTTGGAGGCCTTCCTTTTTCCAGGAAAGGACCTAAGAGGGCGAGGCACAGTGCCTTCTGTTCTTCGTTTGCTCGTATCCAAAGTTGACTGGCTGTGCACCCCATGGCAATGCTAGTGCTCTCGATGAAGTGCCTGCCCTTTGACCGATCGTTGGGTCGGTCGCTATGTACATGTATATATGTATATCTGCATGTATGTGTATTATGTATCCGCACATACAAATATCCTTCCTCCTGCAGTTTTTGAGGCGCTTGGCGTAACTTGTCTGGTGTGTTGGTGATGCAGAACTTTTATCATTCACGCCTGTGGAAAGCTCTGGAGGGGGCCGCGCCGGAGCTGGCAACCGATGCCGCTTCCTCAGTTCTCTGGACTGTGGCTCTGCTTCTGTTGCTGCCCCCCATCTTCTCCCTCGCTTCCCTGTCCGTCTTGCGAACCTTTTCGAAAGGGTCTAAGATCGCAGTCGCCTGGATTCAGGAGGCATGCAAACAGTGCATGAGCAAGCCAGAAAAGCATGCAGCGAACACGATAAATATTCGCGTCCTTGTTGCTGCCTTTCCACGCTTCCAGAAGGCATGCCAGGTGGCAGCCAGATGTACCGCGTGCACTCGGCTGCCAGCAAGTTGCCTCTTGTTTTCTTCCCTTTTGGCTGCCATTCTTCAGGGTGATTGACGAAGAGTTTCTTTGGTGGGCTCGCGCAGCAATGGCCGCTATGGCGCTGCTGCTCCGCATCCTCGCTGCAAAGGAGCTGGTTCAGGTGAGACCAGAAGGAATGCGATGGGCAGCGCGTTTTCGATTTTTGCATGTCATAACGAGCTTCACAGAAGAATGCGTTTTGCTATTTCCCTCAAAGTGCGTAGCGTGTCATCTGCGAGTCGGAAGCAGCGTGGAGGCACGCGGCCTCAATTATGCATTACGTTTAAGCGTTTTGTCGCCTGCAACGAGTCGTGAGGGCATCCACTCCATCATTTAGCCTCGTGCCTTGAAACGTCTGCTCTAGTCACATTTCGATTGGATGAAATGGAAGTTCTGCTATTCGTACTTGCAAGCCTGCGTGCGTCTTCCTCAGGCGTCGTTGTTGCGCCAAAGTGGAGAGCTCGCAGAACTTACAGGTCCTGAAGCTCCGCCGATCAGAACTGAGCAGCAGAAGCAACAGCTCTACAAGGCAATGAAATGCGTGAGA